CAGGCCATACATACATGCCTGCCAGTCCACACCAATTTCCCCACTCAAATACATAACTGTCTTCTTAGGCTTTACTGCTAGCGACCTGTTGGAAGCCATTAGGCCAAAGCACCCTTTTTGATATAGATATAATGTATGGTCATTTTAACTAATAAATCTGAAAGCTAAGGATGAGTAAGCCTGTATCTACCAAAATGTAATAGCAAAAAAGAGTACGTGTAGGTGTGGGTGAATATACCCGACACACACACATGGGGGTCATCAGAATACGGCACATTTGGCGAGTAATGTAGTGAGAGACATGTAGAACCTAATGCAGAGTTTTCCTTTCCCAACCCATCCCTTTTTTTGAGAACAATTTTCCTGCATACTAATGTGTACACGGTACAACCTGCCTAACTCACATCACCTCGGGAAGAATTCATGGCTTTCTTTGAGGAAGATCAACAAGATGTCAACTATATCTTGGTTGTCATCTGACAGGTGCTCTATGTTGAATTTATCTGATGGCCTCTATCTTTCTAGTGGCCTTGACAGGAACAGCAATTTGCGGCTTGTCAAAGGTCCCCTGCCTTCCCCATTGTTCCTGGGGATTTTTTCCATCTTTATTTTGAATTGTAGCAGGTTGGCATTTATGCATTCAGCAGGTAGGCGGGTCCATGGGTAAAAATAATTCATGGAGTTATAATAAATTCACAGGGTTAATCATATATCTCTGTGGGAAAAAAAATCTGTTTTCTGTCCTATTTATGGCTTGTTAAGCTGGAAGCTGTTGCCCCTTTTTTGTGTTACATGTGACCTTTTGAAGAAGTGGTTTAGATTAATAGTCAGCAATATGAGATATGCCTCGTCATGTCTGTGGTTGGAGGGTTGCAGTTTTTTTACTGCCTGTGTCATCCACCTAGTTCTCTTTCTTATCTTTCCCCTTATTAACAAGCATTTTTTAATACGTTTATCGATGGCCTTTGTGAAATTTTCCCATGGTGCTTTCATGCCTCGATCTATTAACTCCCTCCAGAAGGTGTTTTGTAATCCCCCTCTCATTCCTCGAAGGCAGTCTAAAGTTATCGTCCTGGACCTCTATATGAATTTCTTTCATTTTATTCCAATTAATCTAAATATTGAGTCTTATCTTCATTGTCGAGAGTAGTGTCAGATGAAAAGGAGCCGAGAGAGACTGCTAATTATATGATAAATACTTTTATTTAGAGGAGAAAAAATTGCATGTAAAATAATGATTCATTTACATGTATCGTATATATATATATACTGTATACTGTTCTAGTATTTCTTTGAATTCGATCGAGGTATTCTGTAAACTAAAAAAAGACCAACATATTTCCTTGTATTTCATCACGGTATTCTGTACCCTAATAAAGATCAGATTCCATGTTGCTGCTTGCTGTCTCAGAAGTATGAACTTAAAAACAGTACTGTAGTTATGAAATTTTCTGGGGGAAATTCAACTTTAATAAGGAAAATATTTTCAAAGTGTAGGGTAAACTTCTAGAAAGTTATCCTTTTCTTAAGAGTAATCTAAATTCAAAGTAAATTTTTGACACAAAATGATTAACAGATAATTATAACTTCATAAGGTTGTAAGTGTATTTACCCGCTATGAAAAGCTACAAAATATTCTAGCATCAAAATACATTACAAGTATCATTATTCATCCCTTGTAACGTTCAATCACTAGAATAGTCAACCATTCAGAAAACTCCAAAATTAAACTTCTACTGTAGTTGTAACTTCATTGATGTTGAGTCAAACAGCTAAACTATCGTCTCGTATATACTGTACGTTAATACATGCCGTTGTATATCTACCAAGTGTAAGGGCAACACGTGCACCTCAGGTGTAATACATCCCGTTGTATACATACAAGGCTTGAGATCAGCTCATACACCTTAGGTATACAGTGACACATCTGACTGTATACATACATGGCTTGAGATCAACTCATACACCTTAGGTATACAGTGACACATCCTACTGTATACATACAGCACTTACAAGGCTTGAGATCAACTCAAACACCTCAGGTATACAGTAAGACATCACGTTGTATACATACCAGGTGTGAGATCAACGCATGTATTAAATAACTGGGTCATCAACTCTGCCAGCTACACCCTCCTTGAGTGTGTAGTCAGCAGGACGGATCTAGGAACAGGACTTAAGGAAGAGCATATATAACAAAATGTAAACAAATTACTGTATATTATCTTTAGTGGGTTGTCAACAGAAAACATCAAAGATAACATTCTGCAATTTTTTTTGCGTTTCATTTTTGTTTAATTTTTACGTAAAAGAACGAGTCTTTTTTTTTGTCTATACCCTGTACTGTAGTTTGAGTACATTTTATAAATGTTGGCAAAATATTTTGCTAAAAAAAAATATATATTGTATATATTTTTAGTAATATTGCTTTAGGCTTCGATATGTTTTATATATTTTTTAATATTATTTAGTAGTGACTTGAGTTTGGGATGAAGTTCTTTATTAATGATTCCTTTAGTTTATAAAGTATGCTATTTGAAAGTTTCAAACCTTCTGTATATATATATATATATATATATATATATATATATATATATATATATATATATATATATATATATATATATATATATATATATATATATATATATATATATATAACCCTTGGAATATTGTCTTTTATCAGCTACTTTCTTAATTATCATATGCATTAAATGGCTGAATTGGGCATGTATTTATATATAAAATATTGCATGTATGCCAAATTAGGTGGTAGTGTACTTAAATTAAAAAGCAATGCATCCAAGCTTATGTTCTCCAAGATACCACAATAGTTTTTAATCGTAGAAGTTAATCTATATGCATGAATAGAATGTTTTTATTATAGCTGCTTCAGTTCATTATTCAGGTAGTATGAATGCCTCAAGGTAAATCAATTATGGAATATTTATAAACATCCAACTCTTTATTTGTTTTTTTTAAATCATGACTAATTTTTTAATCATTACTAATGCCAATAAAAAAATAATTTCACAAAATGTGCATGAGAGGACTGTTGTATATCTTGATTTGTAATTAGTGAACGCTCATTATTTACAAAACAAAAACTGATTGTTGGATGCATCTACTACAGTTACAAAAGTGGGCCAGGTGATGCATATATGCCACTGGAGAGGTAGATGGTGATGCAGGTGAGAGGGAGAGTGTTAGGAAAAGACCAAAGAGGGGATGACTTGGGTCGGCATTGGAATGTGGGCACTACTGGGATGTAACTGAACAGAGAGGCATGTTAGCTACTGGACAGAATTAGTTAATTGTAGGAAGGGCTAAAACTACTAAAAATGAATAAGGGTCATAGGAAAATGTCTAACTACTAATACATACAGGGACGGGCTGTCAGTAGTCTCTGTACTGGGCTGTAAACAGCAAGGCAAATTTGATGTGGGACCAGTATTACCACCCTTTACTTACCTGTATACCTGTTTTATCTGTGCTTTAAAACTGGTGCAGTAGAATTTCTAATATTTATTTTGGTTAAGAAAAATTTCACTTTTGTAAACAATTATCACTTCTGTACTTTTTAGGGATTTTGAAAGAATGATGGGGTGATTAATTCAGGTTCCTGTGAAAATTGTCCTCCCTCCACAGAGGGCCACTTGGTGTGTTTCAGTACGAGGTCTCACAAAGTAAGAAGTACACCAGTCTGGTGAACCAGATGGTACAAGACATTTTTCTCTATCACAAACAGCGCAGGTTAACTTATTAACGAGTCACCTATTTAATATTGTGACATTTCTAAAGTAAATACCGTACAGGCAGTTTCTAAAACAAATGATATATATATATAGCATATATAGCACCATCTACTTAATGCCTAATAAAACAGTTCACAAATACGGAGACATTTCAGCTGGCAACCAACGAAATGTTTTCAAACTCTGTTGCCAGATCTTCATTTATACATCTTTCCAAACTGCACATGTCTTTACTGTTACTCTGTATATACTTGCCACAGTTTTGTTTTTACCTACAAAACCTTTGAAAAGTTTGTATCATGGTTCTCAAAATCACAGAATAATAAGCCCTAGCCACTTAATGAACATACTGCTACATCCATAACACAACCATAAAGTGCACTTGTAGCATATTGGAGTCTTTGCTACTGAAGAACACTATTTTGCTAACTCATAAACGTAACACTTAGTTGAGCATTAGGCTTCCAGATGCATGACAGATGTTATCAAAGAACACCTGGAAAAGCAGCCGGAGGACTTCCTCTTGGAGGGAGGTCAGCGGACCAGAATGGTCATCACAACCATGAATGTATAAGACACATCAGATTCAGAGTGGCTACCACCTTTTGAGGGTAGGTTTGTAGATGAGAGTTTAGTAAGGATGAAGTGAGCATGATGAGTGATACTGCTGAGCATGACTATGTGGGTCAGATGTGGCCCAAGGCTATGGAGGTCAGAAGCGAAATTCTCTGAAATCTGGGTGACTGTTGGATGTGCGGGTGGAGTGGCGAAATGCTGGGGTAGTCATTGCTGAACTGGATGAAGCATTTGTGGAACGGTTACGTCTGCTGGAGAAACGGCCAGGTCTTTTGGGTACTCGTGGAAGGGACCAGGGTTTACTCTTGCGCATCAAAGAGTGAGAGGTCATTTCTTTTTGAACAGCTCCCCGAGTACTTGCATGATGATCTTCTTCCATCAATGACCTGGAAGACAGCGTGAGCAAAGCTTGAGGAATATCAAGCGTATTTCGGGTTGATGGAGGTTGTGTAGGTACAATGCTTACATGTTGGCCACTTAATCCTTTACAATTTAGATGATCAAGAAGGTGTGAGCTGGGCAGAACAGGGCCTGAGACAGTGTGTTCAGGGCGAGTGTATGGGCTGGTTTGAGGCACACGTTGCAGACCAGTGTAAGATGTAGCTGCCACAGCTAAGAAAGAATCAGGCTGTGGAGGGCATTTATGTGATGGTTCTGCAGTTGTCTGGGGAAGGCCATGACATGGTGAAGGTCGACGACTGCCATCACACACACAGGTCCTCTCAGCACGACACCCACGAACCCGGAGTGTCATTTCCACCCCAGTAAGGCACGGACACGGGCACCCTTTGGCACCCGGGGCCATCTGCAATAAGTCACAAATGTTTACAAAGTAGACTGAAATGCAAATACCATATCATACAACTTTTAAAACGTTGCAATGGTTATCTACAAAGATATCCTAATTTTATTAGTAATATAAGGTAATTAACTCTTAAAGTCCAATGTAAAAAAGCAGCAGAATGAATATTGAGCCTACATTGTTTATGAACTTACATGTTATACTCTATATGTACTGTAATATCAATAATATGTTGTACTGAATATGTAGTTATTAATAATCCTAACTTCACTTAATAGATGCATAACAATCTCCCATTTATAGTATAATACAGTTACAGTCGTCTTCTATGAGTCTGCAAACTGTAAATGTTTAATTAATTATAGTCATCAACATTCGCTGTAGACGGGCAAATGAAGACGGCTCCGTTGCAGGTGTCACATCTGTCACACTACTGTTACCGCTGTCACACTACTGTTACCGCTGTCACACTACTGTTACCGCTGTCACACTACTGTTACACTTCCCACTCATGTGTCACTGTGACGTCATCCCCACCTTTTGTTAATGTTCTTTCTTCAGCCCTTTAATACAAGGTGTCCGCTACTCCTCGTAGTGTTTGAATGTTCTGTCCGCTCACCCCAACCTGTTAATATCCCAGAACACTATCTCCACCACATCTACCCCCGGGTCATGTCTCACCTGCTAGACATTATTATGCTCCTGTAGAAGGGGCTGTGAGGCGGGGGCATCTTGGGCGGTGTCGCAGGCAGAGTGAGGACAGGCGTGTAGGTCCAGGGAACACGACCCCACGCCCACGCCCGACGCCGACGTTGGCGTAAGGGGAGACATGGGCGTTACAGGCGTCAAGGGCGTCACTGTAAAGATTAATATAATATTAACCTACATATCGATGTTAATATGTTAAAGAAGAAGGTAGTGTGATTGAAGGATGGATGCGAAGCAATGCATCGGTGTGGTGAGTTGCTTCAGCAGTCACGTAAGCTCATGATATTACTGTGGCTGTGTATTGGCGCGCTCCAGTCACCTGGGCCGTGACTGTGCCCACCATGGTGTAGCCCAACTGGTTATTGAAGTCGGCTCGCTAACGACTCGTGTCCAGGTCTTTCCGTACGTCTGACGCTTCTGTTTACCTGGCAGTAATTTGGTATCTGAGAGTTAGTCAGCTGTCGTTAGCTAACGGGACCTTGGTAACCCCAACGAGAAACCAATTCCTTTTCCAAAATGCAAGAGAATTCAGTATAATCTGGTAACAAACCCCAAGAATATAATTTATTTCACAGGAATGTAAAGAACGCTTACGACTGCACGCAATACACTGTGGAGTCCCAGAATATGCTCATTGATTAGAAGCTAAGACGACCGTAATTCCTTTGCCTCACTAACCAAGACCGAATCCACAGGCCACGGCCGACAGCCGAGGTCCACAAGCCCGAGGTGACAGGCCGGGGTCCAAGGCCGGGGTCCAAGGCCCGAGGTTCAAGGCCGAGGTCCAAGGCCGGGGTCCAAGGCTGAGGTCCAAGGCTGAGGTCCAAGGCCGAGGTCCAAGGCCGAGGTCCAAGGCCGAGGTCCAAGGCCGGGGTCCAAGGCTGAGGTCCAAGGCTGAGGTCCAAGGCCGGGGTCCAAGGCCGGGGTCCAAGGCCGGGGTCCAAGGCCGGGGTCCAAGGCTGAGGTCCAAGGCTGAGGTCCAAGGCTGAGGTCCAAGGCCGGGGTCCAAGGCCGGGGTCCAAGGCCGAGGCGTCCGCTTCTGAATATATTATCGCACTCAAAGGTTTATTTTGTTAAGATAAATGAGCATTTATCCTAATATATTAAAAAAAAAGTTCAGTGCCCACGAAAACGAAAGTTAATATGAGCACTGTAAATGATTCATAAAGAACTCGAATGTTAGAAGAGTTAAATTGTAACGCAACAGGAACAAGGCCAGTAGGCGGGGCATCAAGAGTTAAACCTCACTCCCCCGTAGACACTTATAGGCAAGTACTAGGCAAGTACTAGTACTAGGTACTAATAGGCAAGTACTAGGCCACGGACCCCCGTATTCCTTCTCATACTGGGAAGAATAATTGTAATGAGAATTTATTTTCAAAATATTCTCAACAATAAAGGCTAGTTCCTGCCCTCACCTTTTACTGGCGAGACGCTAGATGATGACGATTACCATCAACGATGTGTGTATCATCTTTGTCACACTGGTGACCGGAGAGGTCAGGTGTCAGTGGTCGGGGATCAGCAGCGTGGGCTGCCGGTACTACTGTTGCTAGTACCGTTGATGGACTAGCAGCAACGGTACTAGCAGCGGTGGACTAGCAGCAACAGAGGACAGGAGGCGTGATCACACCGTGTGTTCAGGGAAACATTGGTAACAAGTAATAAACTTTCGGTCTATTTCTGGAGGTCGAGGTGGATTTCAGCGCTGAGATACCTGAATCGGTGTCTCAGCGCTGGTCCCTTTAACACGGGCGAATTTTACCCAACTCCTCGTGTGAATATTTTAGGTCCCCACCAGTGTTGACTTCCCTACCAGCCCTCCTACACCCATACCAACTGTCACACACCCTCTACCAGCCCTCCTACACCCATACCAACTGTCACACACCCTCTACCAGCCCTCCTACACCCATACCAACTGTCATACACCCTCTACCAGCCCTTCTACACCCATACCAACTGTCACACACCCTCTACCAGCCCTCCTACACCCATACCAACTGTCACATACTCTCTACCAGCCCTCCTACACCCATACCAACTGTCACACACCCTCTACCAGCCCTCCTACACCCATACCAACTATCACACACCCTCTACCAGCCCTCCTACACCCATACCAACTATCACACACCCTCTACCAGCCCTCCTACACCCATACCAACTGTCACACACCCTCTACCAGCCCTCCTACACCCATACCAACTATCACACACCCTCTACCAGCCCTCCTACATCCATATCCACTGTCATACACCTCTACCAGCTCTCCTACATCCATACCCACTGTCATACCCCCTCTACCAGCCCTCCTACACCCATACCAACTGTCATACACCCTCTACCAGCCCTCCTACATCCATACCCACTGTCATACACCTCTACCAGCTCTCCTACACCCATACCAACTGTCATACACCTCTACCAGCTCTCCTACACCCATACCAACTGTCATACACCTCTACCAGCTCTCCTACACCCATACCAACTGTCATACACCCTCTACCAGCCCTTCTACACCCATACCAACTGTCATACCCCGTCTACCAGCCCTCCTACATCCATACCAACTGTCATACACCCTCTACCAGCCCTCCTACACCCATACCAACTGTCATACCCCCTCTACCAGCCCTCCTACACCCATACCAACTGATCCACACCCTCTACCAGCCCTCCTACACCCATACCAACTGTCACACACTCTCTACCAACCCTCCTACACCCATACCAACTGTCATACACCCTCTACCAGCCCTCCTACACCCATACCAACTGTCATACACCCTCTACCAGCCCTCCTACACCCATACCAACTGTCATACACCCTCTACCAGCCCTCCTACACCCATACCAACTGTCACACACTCTCTACCAACCCTCCTACACCCATACCAACTGTCATACACCCTCTACCAGCCCTCCTACACCCATACCAACTGTCACACACACTCTACTAGCCCTCCTACACCCATACCAACTGTCACACACACTCTACCAGCCCTCCTACACCCATACCAACTGTCACACACTCTCTACCAGCCCTCCTACACCCATACCAACTGTCACACACTCTCTACTAGCCCTCCTACACCCATACCAACTGTCATACACCCTCTACCAGCCCTCCTACACCCATATCAACTGTCACACACCCTCTACCAGCCCTCCTACACCCATACCAACTGTCACACACCCTCTACCAGCCCTCCTACACCCATACCAACTGTCACACACCCTCTACCAGCCCTCCTACACCCATACCAACTGTCACACACTCTCTACCATTCCTCTTACAACCTGTCATGCCCTCCAACCCTTCCAGCCCTCCTACGTACTGGATTGTTCATTTATCCAAGTAAAGAACAACTAGTCAACGTGCTTCAGAAAACCTTAAGTCATTTTTAATGGCTTAAAATGGCTTAGTCTGTCTTCATACCGAAGGTTTCTAATTCCCGGGGTTAACTTTATTGCAGACGATGAGTCACAATAACGCGGGTGAAGATATGATGAATAAACCACACATCAGAAAATAGAGAAACGACAACGTTTCGGTCCGTCCTGGACCATTATCAAGTCTTGTGATGATTTGATAACCACAGGACTTGATAATGGTCCACGACGGACCGAAACGTCGTCGTCTCTCCATTTTCTGTGCGAGTTGGTCATCATAACTGTATTGTTCTTCACTCTATATGTTTAAGTGAATATATGTCCACTCTACAGTACGGTGAGCAAAGTTGACCTGTATAATCTAAATGGGACGTAACATGGACAAGATAATGCTGAAGAATAACATTAGATATTTGAACCAAAGTATTTTGACGTTGGGTGGGATTGAACTGTAGACTCCCGGCAAACCTGCACCACTCACTGTACCATGATGGACTTGACAGTATATCAACCAGGAGTCCGACCAGATTTACTTAGATAATGGTCAAACAGAACACGTCACACAGAGCCAAAAATAGAGCATAGCCTTTATTTTAAAATACAATCATGGTGAACGTTGTTGTATTTTGAATAAACACACCGCTACACTACCACCCTTGGGTTGTTAGTGACTTTGCAAGAATGTAAGAACACCAATGCTATGTACTCTCACAAACCCAATGTACCTTCTTGTATATAAATAAAATATTATAATAAGTTACGGCGTATATGATCAAGCCGTTCTTATGATGAACAGGCCGTTCTTGCCATGAAGAGGCTGCCCTTCTGCTGAATAAGGGTACTTTGTGATGATCAAACCGTCCTTGTGCTGAACAGGGTACCTTTATGATGTACTGAGCGAGCAAGGGGAGTTGCGTGGTGACCACCGGCCAGGTCGGACGCTCCTGAGGTCTCTCCGCACTGGCTAGTGTTTACGTTGGGTGATTGCTTGTTTGCCCTGCTGGTGGTGGTTTGCCACTGACAGGGTGACGTTTGCCTTAGCCATGGGGTCATCTCGCCCTCCAGTGCAGAGGACATTGTCGGCTGGTCTAGCGTTTACGGTGCCGGTGGATCATCCATTGGTTGGTGTCGCCCTGGTGGACGTGCTTCATGTGCAGCTGTCGGACCTGGTGGGCGTCCAGCTGCTTCAGGGCAACCGTGCTGTGGTCAAGTTCCGCCTCCAGGCTGCCTTTCAGGTGTTTCTCGAGCGTTGTGAGGGGCGTGTTTACCCACTCCCTGATTCAGCTGGCTCAGTTAAGGTGGTGAATCTTAGTGTCACCTTGACGTCTGTGGCGGTGCATGGTGCCCCCTTCGAATTTCAGGACGACTTTTTAACCTCCTGTTTTGAGCGATTTGGGACCGTGTTAAGTGTTCGTTGGAACAAGGTCGTTGCCGGGCACTGTGTTGGTATGCTTGACGGCTCCCGCACCCTGACGATGTCGCTGAAGTGTAGTGTACCGTCGTCGATGTCCGTGTTGGGTTACACGCTCCGCTGCTTGTACCGGGGTCAACCGCGCACCTGTTATCGGTGTGGTCACGAGGGTCACCTGGCTGCGGCGTGCGACGTGGGAGCACCTGGTCGGGTGCATGTTTTTCGTGCAGAGGATTTCCCGCCCTTGTTACGTTCGGACGGTTCTGAGGACGGAGTAGGTGCTGTGCCTGAGGCGCCTGATTGCCTGTCTGCTGCTCCGCCTGTTGAGGCGAGTTCTACGGCCTGTGCGACACGTCAGGTGACTGCTGTGACCCCTGGAGTTGTTGAGCCGGTGTGTGTGGGTGTCGAGCCGTCGCCTGAGCTGCGTGTAGTGCAGGATGTCCCGGTGGAGGTCCATGTCCCGCCCCCGCCTGTGGATGTGATACCGGCTCCCGGGGACGCGGGTTCTGCTGTTTTAGAGGGGGTGCTTCGGCAGGGGGAGGTGCCTGCCGTGTCTGTGTGTGTTGGTGAGTGTAGTTCTGCTCTTTCCGTCCCTTTGCAGAAGCGTGCGCGTCGGTGTTCTGAGGCTGTTTCCCTGGATGATGTGGACAGTGTGGGTGATGTGGCCTCTGTGGACTCTTCGGACGGTGCGGGTGTGGCCTGTGTGGATGTAAAGATGGTGGCCGTGCCTGCGGCGGGGCCTGCTGGGCGTGGTGTGGTGAGGCCTGTCTCGAAGCGTTCACGGCGGGCTCGGAGTGTGTCTCCCCTTCGTGGTGTGCCTTGGGAGGAGGTGGGGGAGTATGGTTATCTGGCGCCCCCCGCCGAGAATGATGGTGCTGTGAGGGGCTCCGAAGTTGCTACCTGTGCCTCTCCTCCTGCGTCTCCTGCTGTTGGATCTCCGCAGTGGGGGGTTGTCCCTGATGATCGGGACCTCGTCGTGATGTTGCGGAAAGATGTGCGCCAGAGGGCCTCGGCTCCTGTGCCCGGTGGTGGGGTCGGTGCCGCGCCTGCGTCCCCTGCTGTATCCCCTCCTTCTTTGCTCCAGTCTGGGGATTGCCTAGTCCCGTCTGCTGGGGTCGTGCCCTGTGAGGGTCCGGAGTTGGGCCCTTATCGGGATGCCCGGGTGCTTCCGATCCCGTGGTGCTCGTCCACTGTCTGGGTGTCGCGGATGAAGGAGTTTGTGTATAGGGTGCCTGATAGGATGTCTCAGCCGAGGGCGCCGCCTGGTGGCCGGCTGCCCGCTGACCTGCGGGTGATTTGGGAAGCGTACTGCTTGCGCTTTCCGATACACAAGTTTCCGGAGAAGTATTAGTTCCCGTCTTGCGCACGCTGCTAAGCCGTGCATGGATCAGCTGCCACCGTGATCACGACCTCCCCCACCCCCACCCCCCCGGTGCGGGGTCTCCCCCTCTAACGTTCGCCTCTGTTTTCGTCGCCACTCTTCTCTCTACGGCCCATCACATCTACCGCTTTTGACTTTCTTCTCCTCCTGACCGTCAACGCGTCTCCTTACATCTGTCCTGGTGCAGTCATCGGGAGGGTTACCCCTTCATGCAAACTGCGCCTATTCTCAAGAAGAAGAAGAGCGAGCAAGTGCGTCCCAACCAACACAGCAGGTATGGGGTAGCCATAGTTAGGTTGCTAGTAAAACCACATTCCACTCCAGGTAGTAAAAACCCTACAGCGTCTGGCTACGCTGAACCGGAAACAATCACGCTGGTTTATCACACACACACTTCTCCAAACGTGTGAATCATGTTTACGTCTCGAAATGCATGGACTTCTCCAGACGCATCGTTTTCTAAATGAATTATGCTGTAAAAATGCAAGGACCCGGTCAAAATAATGCATGGATCTAGCCAAGTCATATGGTTAGGGCAAGTTAATAGGCATTTTCATATGAATGATCGTGATCATATGCGGAGATTTGATCAAACGCATGTAGTCAACTTTCCAGAAGACTACTATCGAAGTGCATAGGGTCTGGCCGAATCCAAAGGTTTATCCAGATACATGAATGTAGCTAAGCACACGGATCTGAACAAATGAATTTGTCTAGTCAAATGAGCGTGTTTGGACAAATGCATTGGTTTGGGTAAATGCATGTGTCTGAGCGAATGCATGTGTGAGCAAATGCACATGGCCGCGCGAATGTGCATCCCAGCGCATGCATGGATCAAGGCACATGCATATGTCTGAGCAGGGTGTGACCTCCCCCCGCCCCCCCCCCCAAAGCTACTCCTTACCGTACTCCTTAAATGCACTTTGGACAAACACACTAATCTATATCAACGCACTAATCTACGCATAGTGAGGCAGCCAGCTAATGAGCACTAAGGATCCATTAAGGAGCTGGAGGGTTAGTGAAGCCTCTGGGGAGAGAGTCTCCGAGTTGTACCTTGTAGCGTGTTCCGCTTGGGCGGCGACGAGGGTCCAGAGTCCTCTCTCTCTGGAGGAGCAGCACAGGTCGACACAGGGCGAGGAAGAGAAAGCAGATCAGTTAAAGATGGTAAAGTGGCAATGTCGGTCCAAGAAATATTAAATAAAAAAAAGCGAAACAGAAGAGTTAAAAGAGAAAGTATTACTGATGTGCAAGAAAATTAGCTACAGATATATGCAGTTTCAGACTCGAGGTTTCGGGATACTTATTTTAAGTCACTAGGGCGAGCAACAGTAGAGGTAAAATGTAGATACAAAAGAAAGTCAGAACATTTGACGGAAAACGAAATAAAAATAATATCCTTGAACACCTGTTTGACTCTAAAAGCCAGTTCGTCTTTAGTGGTGTGGTACAGGAGTACGGGGAGGATGTTGGGAGTACTCTGACCAAGCCAGCCATTACTTCACTCCTGGTGAACATTACCACGGGAACGCCAGCACTGTCGGCTGTAAACAAGGCCCAGTATACACTGCTCAGGGGCAACAACAAGCTTCCCAGCAAACACCTTTCACCATGTATTGATTGATTAAACTTCACCAGGTATGAATGACCTCTAGTGCCAGTGGTTACAGTAGTCGGCTCACACCCAATTGGTTCGGGGTTTGATTCCTGGCAGGGCGAAACGTTCCACAAGTTTCCTTTCATCTGATGTCTCTGATCCAGGATGGTCCAAGATGGACCGAAACGTCATCTCATTTTCTGGTGTGTGGTTTAGTTTTCATATCTTAAGCCACGTTATTGTGATGCATCATCTGCATCTGATGTCTCTGTTTACCTAACAACATTAGGTACCTGAGAGTTAGGTGACCGTTGTGGGTAGCATCCTGAGATATGGCCAGTCGTTGCCATAGAGGGACCTCCCATAAACAAGACTCCTACCTCAATTTATACGACTTCTAAAATTAACGCATCCAGCGCCAAAAGCGTCAGATGCTTGAGGATGGGCGGGCTTCCTACACCAGTCTCCAGCACTGCTTTCCTAAGTACTTGTCGAAACTCGAACATAAACCACTCACCTGGTGTCGACTCCTGGCTGTTGAGTCTGTCTAGTTCCCTGGCGGAGTAGAGAGGTGTATTGACCTGGTAAGTGTTATTGAAGAGCGAGTAGTCAACAGCGTACTCGCCAAGATCTTTGTTGAAGGTCACAAGGTTTTCGAAGCGGTAACCCCACAGGATCTCATTCGGCAAGTACGATGACCGCGCCTGAGTGGTCATGCCTGCCGGAGAGGTCCACGACGGTTAGATGATGTGATATATATCACCTAAAGTAATTAAAAGCTTAAAATTAGCTCCTAAATATAAAAAAAATGAAAATGGCAGTATTGAATGCCTTTTGACGCCTCTTCTTCACGACTGGTTTATAATTTACAAAGAAACATTGACAGTAATATAGTTTGAAAGGACCATTGTATTGCATATACTTTGATTTCAGTTTATAAGTTTAAGTAAATATAAGTAATAAACAAAGTTTACAACTAAAACTCACAACCCAGACTAAATCATAGTTATTAGTAACTGAGGGTTCCATCATGAGATCTAGAGATCACAATATATATATATATCATGGATACATTCACTGAGAATAATTTTCAACTTTTTACTGAGGATTGTCAGCACCGCTTAAGTGGCTAGCCTGCGCCAGGATTTACAGCACCCCTCCGGGGCCACTTGCGAGGTCTACCTCTTACCTCTATAGTGGTGACTTAGTCCCTATTAACTACAATTTACGAGCTTCGAGGCGCTAGGAGGTCGTCCGTAACAGATGAGCTCGTAAACTCTGGTAAATATGGACTAGCCGCCATGATTGAGATAAGAGTTGCAGGTCTCTTAAGTGGACACATAACTGCTCTTGTCAATCTCAGCCTACACTGTACACACTAACCTGTGGACTCGATAACACCCTCGAGTATGACAACGATCTCAAACTTCTCCCTGAGTAGGTCGTGGGCGGAGAGGTCGTAGAGTGGCGAGTTCTCGTTGATCTTGTGCACCATGGTCATGGGCCAGATGAAAAAGATCCGGTCCTCTCCGATGTCATAACCTACGTCCAACTCGTACTGAAAGAAAGGCAGGATCTCTCCCTCCCTCGTCACCCTCTTTCTGATGAGTTGAGCCCTCACATGAGCCTCGATGATGTGAGATTTCCTCATGTCCCCTACGCGGAAGAGAAGGCACATCTCGCCGTCACGGAGACACAAACATGCGTTGCGGGAGAAGAGAAGTGTTTGGGTCCGCTTCTTGGGCCGCGAGAGCTTTGCGAACACGATCCCCACCATGAATGCCTGAGGGAGAGGCAGGGGTGAGTGTTGTGGTGCGGCGGGGTGCAGCAGGGTGGGGAGGGTTACAGTAAGGAGAAAAGAGCCATAATAATACAAAGTCCATATAATAATATGGATTTACTTAACTGGATAGACCCAATATACACTTGTAAGTTTGGGTATTGTATATCTTATATTTGATTTTCCAAGTTACCACTTGCAGTGTAATTATTATACAAAGCTGTAAATTGGTCCCGTTTAAAACCTGTTGTTTAATACCTCATGTGACCTGGCGGCGTTGACCTCAGCCTCTGAGGTCACCGACTGCCACAAGAAACAGCCGTGACTCTCGAGACAAACTATTGACAGAGTAAGGCAAACTATATTTAAAACTGACATTAATCAACTGAGAAGAGGTGGAAGGGAGGTGTGTACGCTATAGGCTCGGCTGTCCCGATAAACAGTAGGCAGGTGTGAGGATAATGCCAGGTGTGTCGGCAGGATGGACGAGGACAATGAAGACACAAGCGGAACAATTCTCCCGAGCCTCACACAGGTATACGACCATTATTAATGACCATTATTACATATATTATGAAGCCTTGTGAACCTTTAAAGTCTATACTGATGTCTCTGACTGAAGAGATTTATGTATCATGACTCCTGTGGCAGGCACGCACCTGTATCATGACTCCTATGGCAGGCACGCACCTGTATCATGACTCCTGTGGCAGGCACGCACCTGTATCATGACTCCTGTGGCAGGCACACACCTGTATCATGACTCCCGTGGCAGGCACGCACCTGTTTCATGACTCCTGTGGCAGGCACACACCTGTTTCATGACTCCTGTGGCAGGCACGCACCTGTATCATGTCACCTTTAAAGATGCTACAGGACATGTATGAGAGAAACTCACCTGTATCATGACGCCCGTGATGCTCTGGATACACATGACGAAGATGGCTTCCGGGCACTCCTCGGTGGTGTGGCGGGAGCCGTAGCCGATGGTGTGCTGGGTCTCTACGCTGAACAGGAAGCACGAGGTGAAGCTGAAGATGTTGACCACGCACGGCGTCCACCTGCCCGGGAACACGGCCATTATTGTCACGTCTACTCTCCCTGGGGGAGCTAGGTCACTCTCTAGGGGAGCTAGGGCACCTAGCTTCCCCAGAGTGAGTGACCTGGGGATTCTACCCCCGGAAGTACTCTACTCGTGCAGCTGGGTTTAGCCCTGGGTCTGTCTCTCCGACTTCGACGTTTCCTCTCGCCGGCTATTCTTCAGTTATCCCCACTTCCCCGCTCACCCCATGGAGGGGGGGGGGGGTATCTTGACTTATATTTAATTCATCATGATCATCATCGGTACATCCCCGCGGTAAAGTAACCCAGGTGTTTGACCAGCAGCTTGGATGAGAACATTACCCACTAAGCCACACTTATGACATTAACTCTCAGCCACACACAACCATCCTCAACAACCATAGTCCAGTGATGAAATTCCGAGGCGTTTATCATCATACCCAGCACAACAATCATGAAACTGTCGCCAGCGTAAGTATGGGCTAATAAGACTTAAGAAGTTTCTTTAATTATTATTAAGTTATACCGAAGATAAGAGCGAGGGGCGCCTGCCTGGTCTTACTTGGACTGCTCCTGCCTGCCGGGAAGGTTGTGCTCCAGCAGGTCGCCGTGGGTGTACGCGATCACCCACCATACAACAGCAAACAGCAGCCACGAGCTGATGAAGGACATGGCGAACACCAGCAGCGTCCACCGCCACTGTGAGTGAAATGTTATTACCATCAATACTATGGATCACATTCTGTATATATGAAGATTTATTGCACAACATTGTGGTGCAAGTGTGGCAAGAGTCATGAACACAAAGACTAAATTGAATGAATATTGCCTTTGCATTTAATGAACAAAATTACACAAAATTCGTTATTATTCTAATATTGACAAGTGTAGTTGGAGCACATAGTGCATGTAAGCCCACACTATCTGTAGGTGCCTTACTTGCTCTTGTCATCACTGTCTACCGCAGTATTAACTACACTCCTCTAACTACAATCTTTGTAAATTGGTCACAATCTTGAGGCATATTACAAATGTTTGTAACTGGTTCACCACAAATGTGAAGTTTAATAGTTTAAGGTATACTGAGGCCTCTTTCCTGAACCTATTATGAAATTGCAAACTTTTCGCTATTGCTCACAGAACGATATAAACAAACAATAGACTATACTAAATAAACTAATCTAACGCACTAACTTCGATATTCTGTACTCATTTTACACCCTCAAATAGCAAATGCTTAACTAGTAAAACTGCCTCAAACGTAACAACCAAAAGTTAGTCCACGTTGAGTGCGAAGAGTGACCATCTAGGAGAGTGAGCGACTGACCTGGATGTCGACGAGTGTGGTGAAGATGTCCTGCAGGTAGCGACGTCGTCGCTTGGCGACGTTAGACGGCGACACGTTGCACTCTCCGTTCTTCTGCACCACTCTCTTCCGCATCTTCTTGCTGCTGATCCGCGTGTGTCTGTACCTGCCGGCGCCAACACCAGGTTACTGGTAAGGTCCACCAACACCAGGGTTACTGGTAAGGTCCACCAACACCACGTTACTGGTAAGGTCCACCAACACCGGGGTTACTGGTAAGGTCCACCAACACCGGGGTTACTGGTAAGGTCCACCAACACCGGGGTTACTGGTAAGGTCCACCAACACCGGGGTTACTGGTAAGGTCCACCAACACCAGGGTTACTGGTAAGGTCCACCAACACCAGGGTTACTGGTAAGGTCCACCAACATCAGGGTTACTGGTAAGGTCCACCAACACCGGGGTTACTGGTAAGGTCCACCAACACCAGGGTTACTGGTAAGGTCCACCAACATCAGGGTTACTGGTAAGGTCCACCAACATCAGGGTTACTGGTAAGGTCCACCAATACCACGTAACTGGTAAAGTCCACCAACACCAGGGTTACTGGTAAGGTCCACCAACACCGGGGTTACTGGTAAGGTCCACCAACATCAGGGTTACTGGTAAGGTCCACCAACATCAGGGTTACTGGTAAGGTCCACCAACATCAGGGTTACTGGTAAGGTCCACCAACACCACGTTACTGAGGTAAGGTCCACCAACATCACGGTTACTGGTAAGGTCCACCAACATCACGGTTACTGGTAAGGTCCACCAACACCACGTTACTGGGGTAAGGTCCACCAACACCAGGGTTACTGGTAAGGTCCACCAACATCAGGGTTACTGGTAAGGTCCACTAACACCACGTTACTGGTAAGGTCCACTAACACCACGTTAATGGTAAGGTCCACCAACATCAGGGTTACTGACATTATCAACAAGCTCCCACTGTCTGTGAGTGTGTGTAAAAATATGAACGAAACCAAAAGACAGGAAGAGGCTATTTCCATTAACAATAAAAATATAGATCAGTGTAGACTCACAGCTGATAAATGAATACACACAGCTGATGTGTATTATATATATATTGTAAATATTAGCATTAGTATTTCACTTTATTTATAAATGACAATATTGGTATGTAAGTGCTACATCCATATTTTAATAAGTGTTACATAAGTGTTATATTAAAATATGGATGTAACATTTACATCAGTGTATTATTATCAATGTATTTAAGAACATGATCATAACATGTTACATACAAGCACGAAATGAATTATAGGGCCGAGTTCATCTAATATGAAGCCTGTGGCTGAAGGAACCACGATAACTCGTACTTTTGTTCTACATCAGGAAATTAACGGTAAGTCAATTGAGTGAGGAGTAGAGGCGTGGAGGGAGGAGTAGAGGCGTGGAGGGAGGAGTAGAGGCGTGGAGGGAGGAGTAGAGGCGTGGATGGAGGAGTAGAGGCGTGGAGGGAGGAGTAGAGGCGTGGAGGGAGGAGTAGAGGCGTGGAGGGAGGAGTAGAGGCGTGGAGGGAGGAGTAGAGGCGTGGATGGAGGAGTAGAGGCGTGGAGGGAGGAGTAGAGGCGTGGAGGGAGGAGTAGAGGCGTGGAGGGAGGAGTAGAGGCGTGGAGGGAGGAGTAGAGGCGTGAAGTGATCTTCAGGTAGTGGTTGTCACTACCTGGAGTGACCAGGTAGACCACAAACCGTAAGACGAAGATCACCAGATGCAGGTTGGGAAGTACGCCGTACTGGTGCACCTGCCTGATAGTGGGGTGAGGGCGAGGCTTGACCTCCACAACCACTGCTCTAACCACAGGTATTACCATGATAACGTTAATCACTGCAGCAAAAGTCAGCTGGGAGGGTGTGGGGGGTGGAGGGGGGTGTGAGGTGGCAGGGTGAGTGGGGGTGGGGGGGGGGGTGTGGTGGCAGGGTGTGGGTGGGGGGAGGCAGGGATATATGCTTGGGTGTTGGGGACGGGGGATGGGGGGCGTTGCAGACTTCTGGGCGCCCTCACTGTTACATGCGCGGTAATTACGTGGCCAGCTGTTGTTTGCCAAGACATATTTTGCTGTTCGATTCCCGCGCAGGACGTGCAAGGTCTTCCTAGCTAAGAGAGAACTCTCCTAGCTAAGAGAGAGCTCTCCTAGCTAAGAGAGAACTCTCCTAGCTAAGAGAGAGCTTTCCTAGCTAAGAGTGATCCCTCCTAGCTAAGAGTTAGCCCTAAGCACTGAGGACAGACAAAAATATGAGAACCTGCTGACACTTGAGAGCAAAATAACAAATGGAGACATGATCACAACTTACAGGATACTAAGAGACAAGAAAGTGAACAAATACAGTATTCTAGATGAAAATAAATAGTTCTAGAGGAGACACGGCGAAAGTAGACACAAATCAGTCAGTGTCCAAGTAGCGGGAACGTGAAATGAAGTGGAAGAACCGGCGGCCGAGGAATTATGAGTTCATCCCATAACTTTATTTTTACATACAGACGCGTCATCGGAAATTGAGGTTAGTAGTGCACCAGATATCGGAAACAGAAGAGGCAGGTCCAAGAGCTAATCCTTCTTAGTACTAATAGGTAAGCTTTCGAGAGACACACACACACACACACACACACACACACACACACACACACACACACACACACACGTGCGCGCGCGCGCCCGTAGTAGACTGTGTTATCTGCAAACATCTATTTGAAAATAATTAAACTCCTGGATGACTTGAATAATTTTTAAGGATCGTGTGAGATGGATACTAGACTTAAACCCGTGTTTGTGTATGGTAATGAGAGCGAGGACAAGCACAAGGAGACCACTCTCGGTAATTAATACTTTGTTTATAAATAATAAGGATACTAATAATACTATATGAACAAAATATTACTTATAGCCTAATTACAGTGTTTTTTTTTAAGAAAGTATTCACAACTTAAAAACATAATACAAATACAAAATTTGTATTCATAAATGGTTAGTACATGTATAATTGGATTAGTTTACATAAGTTTACAGTGAATTATCTACCCAATAGAGTCTTAAAAACAACATTACATGAATGTCTGATGATGAGAATACAATTTAAAGGACTAATACAAACTAATCGTTCAATGACTTTATAAAAAAAATCACACCCTCAACTCCCGATTAACAGATTCTAGGACTAACCCGGATCAAATTCCCTCCCAACACACTGTTCATGCAACATAGATCTAACTTCCATAGGATTCAAAATGCTAGCTAGTAAGCCATCGCTTTTTGACAGTATAGTTGCTTCAAAATTCCCATTATCCAGCTAGGGGTTTTCCTGCTTTCTCTGCTGACTAGTTCTTTTATTCCCTCCTGTGTACCTGCTATATCATTATATACTTATTCTTAAGTTGCATTTCCTGACAATTAAGTTTGCATTGCCTGGAAAAGTTGATGTGGCCAAGGACAAGTGAGCGCCTAGAAAAAGAATTGAGCTTGCTGGATGGTTGAGACAAACGGATATTCGTTTTTGAAAAATTTCTTCAAGTGTGGGGTGTGGACATCAGGCCAGATATAAGATTGTAATGAGTGCAAGGATGGACATTTCCTCCGTTTAAATTAGGCTCACCAAGATCAGCATTTTGAAGGTTCCATAGTTCACATCCGTACAGGCTTAGTCATTGACTTTACTTTCGATCAGGTATCAAGATGAACGAATTCAATCATAATGACATTTATTCTAACTTTTAGGTGTCTAATCGCATCAGAAAGATTGACAAGTGGGCCTTTTGAGTAAATTATATGCCACAGATGATTTTCAGAATACTCTACAGGAATCTCGCAGCCTAGTAATTTTATTTGGGATCAATCTAATACGAATCCTGCGAGTTAAGCACATTTGTCTGAATTAAAAGTAAGGTTTCATTCTGCACTGTAACTTTCGCATATTCCCAGCATGATATCCTTGTCATCTTTGGCTGGTGCGAGCAGAACTAGATCAGAACTAGATGTCGTCCCTTCAATTTCTAGTGTGTGGTCTGGTCAACTAGATCAGCTTAACAGAAAACATGGCCTTAGTATTTATTGACTATGTGACAGCCAGCTCGACTGGCCCTTGACTCTTTCAGTAATGGATCAAGATAAACAGGAAATAGTATGGGACTAAAAACTGCACCTTGTTAGATTCCACTTTTTAATAAAAATATTCAGAGAGGAAGGGAACTGGAGAAGGCCTTTTGGCTTGTAGGAAGCAGCACCTATTTATATCCGGCCAAACTCGTCCATCAAACCTACGCTTGAAGCAATCTAGCACAATTAGGTTAGTACATACGCACATGTAATTGCGTTAAAACTGTTAATATCTCGGCCGAAAAATTAAAGTATCGAAAACATTGTGAAAGTTCACAGGGCGAGAGGAGAGATCACAGCACACTACATAAAATGTTCCGGTGTTTCTTGCCTTCACATATTAAATATTGCCCGAAACTACAACAAAGTGGATTTTTTTCTGTAACAATTTTGACATCCAAAAACAGCATAGTTCACCTGAACGAGAAATTAGCTTGTTAAACAGAACATAGAATCAAAGATTTAACTTTTCATAAAGTGAAATATAGAATAATCAATCAAATTTAGGTCTATAAATATTGAATAAATATATATATATATATGAGCAGCCAGTTCTTAATTTTTTGTTATAAAATGGCCCATTTACTTACTGTGACTCAGACTGGCGACCAGCCTCGCACCACGCCATCACCCACTGCTGTCTCGCCCCTCCCCAATGGCGTAAAAGCGCGTGTCAGAACCGTCGCATGAGTCTGAGGAGGCGAGGCAGAGCTCTCGGTAACTGGGGCATGGTAGGTGTCGTTACCTGGCTGCAAGAGACGCCGCCAGGGTTGTCGGTCTGGGCTCTCTCTGGGACGCCTTCGATCAGTGTGGAGATGATGCCAATACTTAAGAGTCTATTCCCACTGACACTAATTATTACTCACTCTCGTAGTGCTTTGAACTATGGTTTCAACCAGTTTTCCTCAATACGGCACCACAACTAATGCACTCTTAAATCAAACTTCTCGGTAGGAAGAACACAACACTTGGGAGAACTTGCCTGCTAACACCTCCCACGTAGGACAC